TCTCTCTCTCTCTCTCTCTCTCTCTCTCTCTCTCTCTCTCTCTCGTAACATGTATTCTCCATTATGTGCAGGACCTTACACTTCGAAATATCAATTCGCGCGAGACGATCGTCGCAAAGAGAGATATAAATCGCCGCGGTGAATGTAAACGGACGACTTAAGAAGTTACGACCCCTCCTCGCCTCCCTTTCCTCGTTAGTCGAATGGGGGGTAAGTCGTGTCCCGGCTTTTCAGTGCCGACTGCGAGTATGTTGGAGTTGCTGTCGCACGATTGCTCCTATGTTATCATGACAAACGCGCGATCTCTGAAGTATCAGTGTTTTTGAATCTCTAGTCGTGTCTGTAAACGAAACCTTTCTCGTTTGTTTCCGGATTAACCCTGTGCTGACCTGCAATCATGTCCGAAATCGTTTCAGAGTCGGACGTCGAACTGAGAAATGGTGAGTCTTGCGTTATTAATTTCCAACGAGATCAAATCCCGCTAACGTGCTTGCGCAAAATATCAGTAGAAATTTTGATACTTCGTTAAATTCTTCAAGCACACAAAGCAAAGAAATTAACACGACAATGACACAACTAAATGCGTTTTGATTAAAGAAAACAGAATTTTTAGTTCTTAAAAATCGAATAAGAAGACGCCTTTGGTTCAACCAAAACACTTATGAACCGAATCTGGCTCATAAGAGTCAGAAATTCTGTCTTCTTCAATCAAAACGCATTTAATTGTGTCATTGCCGTGTCAATGCAATTTATCTTTTTCCCTCGTGTATACGATATCTCTTATTGTACGATTGATTTCATTATTTATTTATAATTACAAAATAAAGAATTTTCTGCCTGATTAGCATAAATTTTAGTTTAACCGGTAGCTCCGTTCTGATTGTGTATTTCGAATTTTCGTCAAAATAAATAATTTTTGTCAAAATAAGTCTTTACAGAAATCGCACGTGGTAAATAGACCAAAGTAAACAGACACTGTTCGTTTTTCAGTTTTCCAGCAGATATTTATGGAATGCGACACGTCAATGACATACTCAACGCTGTCCTTAAGCAACGAAGTACCGATCTCCAAGATTGTACGATACGTCCAAGAGCAATTGCCGATCTGGTCGTGAGTATCCGGACGACTTATACGCGTCGGCGAGCAACGCGTGTCGTCCTGTCCAATGTTGACATGAACAATCGAACGCGACACGACCGCGAGAGAACTTCAAACAAATTACGCATATATCCATCGATCGATACAAGGACAGGCGATCGACGAGCACGACTTTACGTGCGATTGCGTGTGCGTTTTCGGCAAAACGCTTTGGATCTTGCGTTCTCGATACATTGTCCGGGTCTGTCACAATAAGTGGAGTAAGCCTTTAGAGCCTTATCCTCTGAACAGAGTTGCTAACAGATCTGAAGAACCGGGAAAAGTCATGGAAATTTAAATTGGTCAGGGGAAATTTGGAAAAGTTAGGAAATTAATATAAAAAGGCGAAAAAACCTGGAAAAATCAGGAAAAGATATAAGATAGAATTTTTAACTGTGTTCATGTCGACAAAACAGTTTTTAGCCGCGTGAGCTAGAAGTTTATTGGCTACACGTCGCTTCTTAATAAGATAAAATAATTAAAATTTATATTCCATTCATTATTTTTACTCAACCGCCTTTTCTCTCATAATCGCATTATTTTCCTCAATATCTATTTATTTTTTGTTTATTTGAATTTACATTTAGGATTATATTTTGTTACTAAACTTCCAAGTTTATATTATTTTTGATAATATAAGTTATCTTTTCTGAAATCTCTACTTTTAAACGTTAAGATGTTAAACGTATATAAGATTACATATGGGTCATTGAAAATTCTCCATTGTCTGGAAAATCTGGAAAAATCAGGGTATTTCAAAATTAATTTTCTTTATGTATCTAAACCCAAAACTGTGGTGTAATTTTCAACGTTTTCTTGCTACCTAAAGTCATAATCCTCAAGCTTTAAGTGAGTTAGCCAGATTCTAATTGTTAAGCAACGAGGAAAACGCTTTTGGCTACAAATTACAGGCCTTAAAGCATAAGGCTGAAGGTTTATTACATCTATTGTAGACCCGTTGAAAATCGAGCGCTGATTTCGCGATGTTTGCATGAGCTCCACGAGAAGGAAGTCCTACATTGCGAATCTGCTTGGTCGACAGGCTAAAACACATGTTAGAATTATGGAAGTGCTTGAGTAACGTTTCGACGAATGACGAATGTGTGAATTTGCGACAATTCAAGGAGGCGACGAAATGCTGGATCGCTAAAATGCTACAGACACAGACGCAGGACGACAACAACAATATAGAGAAAGAGTTCTACAAGTATGAAGCGGTGTTTTTGTCCTCTCTTTCTCTCTCTCTTTTATTTAGAAAACAGAATTGCATATTATAGCATGATGCGTTGCGATAACGTCGTAACGTATTATAGCGTCTTGAAATAACTGTAATTACCGCGACTTGAGGCCGCGCGTTGGGCGGTTCTGCAGCCGTGTAGAAGGCGATCATTGTCTCATGCAAAACGTCGTTACTTGTGGCGATCGATTGTCAGAAAATCATTTCACGACAGAAACGCGAAGAGAAAGAAAACGCATCGATATTCTCGATACGAAGTCTTTCGTGGACGAATCGAGTGGCGCGATAAATAGAAGAAATCGACGCGATATCACTGTGTGGACAATGTAGCGCTGTAGAAATCATTGGACCGTAAATGCAGCACGTGGAACGCCAGGCAGCTCTGCAAAGAGCAAAGCGACTCCAGACGCTCAGCGAGTGTAGCCGGGCTTGTAGAAATTGATTAGAGGTTTACACCGCGCGAAGTAAACTCGCGCCATCACACATCAGTACACTTAGAGAGAAGAAAAATCTAAAAAATAAAAGATATTTATTCGATGGGTACTAATGACATATTTACTGAAATCTAAATTATTTTATTTAAATAGAATAAACATTGCTTTCATGAAAAACTACGATTTTAAGAGAATATATATTTCCTTATATAAAAAACATTTTATACTAGCATAAATAAATATGTTATCAGTATAAGTCTTTATTTATTAAATCTTTCTTCTCTAAGGTCTGTATTGATAGTTCTATTACTTGAAACCCTTCTCAAGTGAAACTCAGATCTGAATTCAGAATCAGATGAGAGTTTTTCAATTGAATCGCGATTACAGATATAAATGTCACATGTATCATAACAACTGAAAAATTTTGATCTAACTCAAAGTCCGTATTAATAGTCGTCATTTGAAATTTATTCTGCGTAATATACTCAAATCTGGATTTAGAGTTGGATCTGCGTTTTTTATTTAAATTGTGTAATATATGTGGGCATTATATTTGTAATCGCGATTCAGCTGAGAAACTCACATCTAACTTAAGACTCAAGCTTAGAAATTAGTACTAAGAAACTAATATCTTAATTACTGTTAATTATTAATATCTTAATTACTGTATATAGTATATTAATATACTAACTACTGCAATTATAGACAAAATCGTAAAACTCGTAATTTGTTCTCGTAAGAACTTATAAGTAGATCTGCAATTCTATGCGGATCATATGTCATATGATAACTCATAATATTTACAATTTTTTTTTTTCGTAAATTATGACTATGATTTTACGATTTACTCGTATATTTGCTTAAAATTAGCATAAATATATAATATGTTATATGTAGTATATCAATATACAGTATCAAAATATTTTATAGAAAATATGAATTAAGTAAAATATCTTACTCATCTTAAAAGTTAAATGCTCTTTTTGAGCTTTAGTTCTTTTTAGCTGAACTACCTGAATTGATGCAAATTGGTGTAATAAATTAGAGTGGAACAAAATATACTTGTCTCACTCTAATTTATCACAGCAGTTCAGACAGTTAAGCTAAAAATACCTACTAATACAAGTCTCAGTATGCTGAGATCATAGCGTCATTTGTATAAATCATTTCTTCCAAGTGTCGCGCGGTTATATATTTGCGAAAGACGGCAATTTCCCGTTGATTTGATGTATGGACGCGATTATCGCGGAGGAATGCTCAAGGAGCGTATAATTCGGCTGTTTTTATCGCGCGTCTAGTTATCCAATTCTCCCTTCGTAGGTGGAACGAAAAATCGTTCACTCGTCTACAACGCGATACGCGCGTGCAGGCACGCACATACGCAGTAACATTCCCGCGGAGCACATCGAGTCACAGCTTACTTACTTTCTTCGCTCCTTGCGCTCGATACGTATAGAACGGGCCGTGCGCTCGCGCGGCCTAGGTGTACGGCTCGTTAAATTTTGCAGGAGCAACACGTGCCCCGCTGTTGTGTACTCGGGGCCACGTGTACGCTCGTTAACGCGCATGTATGCGTGCGTCTGTGTGTGTATCTCGTATGCGCGCACACGGCTGGGCCGATCGCATATATGTCATTATTCGCTTACGTATTATCCGCAACGGCGATAAGCGGCACATTGCGGCCGAGAAGCCGGCTGTAATTCCCGACGGCCGCGAAAATACGTGCACGTCGGAGATCGCGCCAGCCGCCGCGCTTCTTCTCTCCGCCTTTCTGTCCGGAAGAGCGTCGGATCCCTTTGAAATTCGTCGGGATCCCCGCGAGAAGACATCACGTCGCTCGGGAACCGATGAAAGGGAGTGTTTACTCGGCAAACGGTCCACCTACGCGTGTGCGTGCGTGTTATGTATATATGTATGTATCTCTGTGTACTTTGGCACAAATGATTCAAGGCGACGGTCTCGCGTAGTTTCATCAAAAGTGTCGCCGACTTCTTGTGCTGATCTCAATTGGATCTCTCGCGCGCGCGCTCACCGAACTCTAAGCCGACATACAGGTGTTATTCGCGGCCGAGCGACATGACACGCGAATATGTGGCAGCTGGAAATCGGTGCGATATCTCTTATGCAATTCGCCGGTGTTCAGTGATTGTCCGCTAGTAGCCATATCTAGTAGTTTCATTAACGTACGCTCATTTTCACAGTTATAGATTCAAGGGAAAAGAAAGGTTTCAGTATTTTTGCGATTGTTGCACATTTTTTTTTATTTTACACGTCGTGAATGTAAAAACTGAATTGTTCACAAATGCAAGTTGGTGGTACAAGCGTGAGTTGAAGATTTTCGGGGAGTTCGTCAGCGCGATACCTGCACGCTCATAGTAGCGACGGTGCATTCGAGCCAACGTCATGACGCCGATTCGACCGTTGATTATAATTTGTGATCGAGACAGGAAGTAAGTGATGAGTTCGCTGTGTCACGACAATTGTTCTCCAAGTCTCTTGTCTACGGGATAAAAATTATAATTTGGATTTTCGTCTGATCTTTATTCAATTGCGAATATACAGGAAGAAATATCTCAGTTTGAACACTTGAACGTAAACCAGATGAAAATTTGGCGGCGTAAAATGATATCTTTGTTACCGCAATCACGCGCGCGCGCGCAAACATTTATCTGAATATTCAACTATATTAAAACCAAGTTGTAATAACTTGGAGTCTTTACGTTGCGAAAAAAAGTACTCGAAAATTTATTCGTGAATCATAAAGTTTATTTTTACAGAAATAAATATTATTTCATAAAAATAAGACTTATATCCCACAAATAAATTTTCAAGTACTTTTTCCTCAATATATGTTTTTATATATTCTTGTGCTAAGAAAATATGTTCTTATATGTTCTTGTGCTAAGAAAAAAATACTTGAAAATTTTTATTTGTGGAATATAAAATTCATTTATAGAAATAAACTATTTCACTGAAATAAACTTTATATTCTACTTTATATTATAAATAAATTTCAAATATTTTTTCTCAGTATAGAAAACCCCAAGTTTTTTATTTAGATTCTACACTGAGAAAAAGATTTTTCTCCCAATATATTCTTACTAAGCAACAAAAAATGTAGTGGCACTAACGAAATTGTTTTTCCGTGTGAAATTGAATACTTAAATTTTTAAGAATGACATTTCACTCGAAAAATACAGTACCACGGAATCATTCAAGTGGTTTTTCACACATATTAAGAAAAAATACAATTTATTTTTGTGATATGAAGCTTATTTACAGAAATAAATTTTATATTTCACAGATAAATTTTCAAATATTTTTTATCGATGTTCTTGGTATTCTCGGAGTGAATTCTCCACTCTGAATCATGAAATGAATATTTTCACTCGAAATTGAAAAGTGAATTTCTTTTGATTTACCCTCACACAGGAACACATTCATTCTAATCGACTGAAACATTTGCTTCATTGAGAATAGAATCCATTCTAAACTTAAGTAAAACATTCACTCTTACAATTTCAGGTGGCAATATTATCCCTATTGCCTTTAGTGAAGATACTGCTACTTTTCATTTGTTTTGAATTAGATTCCATTTCAGGAAATTTAAAAAATATTCTCATATGTAGATATCCGCCACAGCGCTTTTCTATTTCCTTCTTTCTTCTACGCGAGTCGCGCACCAAACCATAGTTATTCAGCTTTAGTGGACTTGAATTTGATAAATATATGCAGAATGGTGTTATTTTTTGCATAATTCACATTATATAAGTTTAACTTATAAGTCTAATTATTAATAATTTAATTTTATCATAATGCACTCGAGCTCGATAGATATTCACTGCTTATGATAACCCTCGATAAACATAAGTTATTTATATCGCGTGCATACAATTCAGAGAAATATAAAGCGAGATTTACGCACGCAATATACACCTGTGAGGTAAAGTCCATGTTTGATCCTTCGCTTAAGATATTCAGTAACAGCCGTATTTCTATAATGCGCCGATCTATATGCGTATCAGCGTATTAATAGCGTTGCGATTGCAATAAGTAACATAATGTATGCAAATTGTAGAAACACGAACGACACGACAATAGACTCGATGAAAACGAAAATGGACAAGGATATCGTAGAAGTCGAGCTCCGTATGAGACTTCGGGAATTCGACGAGGAGAACATTATCCTGCGAGATGAACTCGCACGGGCCGAGGAATCGATCGCAAATTTTGAACGACAATGCAGCGATCTTGAAAATCGATTGTACGTATGTTTATCATAGCGAGTGAAACGTTCGAATTATTCGCGGAATAAATCCGAGATCCGTTCGTGAGAAATTGTGCTTTATCAATGTAGGGATCGTTACACGAAGAGATCTCAGGATCTTGAAAGAGAAAATGACGAGCAGAAAGATAAATTAAATGAAATGATGAAGAATGAGAAGAACTACGTTTCCGCATATCAAAAGTCTACAAAGAAGTATGAGAGCTTGTCGAAGCAATTGGAAGCCGCTGAGATCGAGGTACGCTTACTTATTTGTTATATAATACGCTAAATATAAACATTTATTTCTTTTATATACATTTATATGTTTGTATCAAGTTCACGACAAGTTTGTAGGAAGTTTTGAGAAAGATTCAAGGCTGGCTCTTTACAGTTGAGCATAACTTTGTTCTATAATATAACGATCGTCTTTTCTTTTCGATAACAAAAAGATATTGACAAAAATGACAAAAATAAAATTGTGTCTGACTATAGAAGGTGCGTTCGGGGAGCTCGCTATTAGCGCTATTCAGCGCTACCGTATCATTCTATCCTTGTTGTATAACTAAGGAGCGATAAAGATAAGAGAACGCGATAATGTTGGTAGCGTGCTCCCGGAACGCAGAGTTATCCACCCAGAGTTATCCGCTTTGATTTTCAAAATCTCTACGAATTTATCAAATAACCCAATATATCGACAGCAATGAAATAACATTAAATTTTAATTTTGTATCTCCGTACAAACAATTATATTAATTTCTGAGCATATCTGCGATGTTGAGTTATATGGAGACTTGTACATTACATCTTTTACTCTTATTTCGATTATAAATTTAACATAGAATCAAGCCATACAGCCCTTACAAGAAAAATTGGAGAAGATCAATAAAGAGAAGAGGGACTGCATAAAACAAGTCGCCAGATTGCAGGAAGAGCTTTGCGAAAAAGAAGAGGAATGCGAGAAGTTTAAAGTCATGATAGCTGAATTGCAAGATACAAATAGCAGTACGAAGGATATATACGAAATTACCATTAGTGTAAGCTTAAAAATTGTAGAGAATCAATTTGAGGCGTAATCATGGATCACAATAATATAGTGAAAACGACATATTACAGAATCTGCACGAGAAGAATCGTCAACTAATGGACGCAAATACGGAATTGCTGTCGATGCTTCAGGAAGATGTGGAATCGTTGTCGATGTTTCAGGGAGAACGAGTAATTTATCATACTAATTATTATAGATATTTTTAGATTATATAAGAAGAGATGTTCCTCGCAATAACCGACAAGGTATTTGCAGTTCTTACTGTCACCAATCCCAAACGCAGACGGATATCATCCACACAGCACGCCTTATAAACTGGAGAAAGCGCCGCCACCAGAAAATTCGTTGTATGCGGAGCTAAGAGCTTCCGTAAGTAGAAATATCGATCTCAATAAAACGGTCTTTTAATGAGCGACAAGTTAATTCGTCTCAAAAACTTCAACGCGCGCGTAGGTCTAAACTTTTTAAGAATACTTTTAAATTGTGCATTTTAGGGCTTCACAGCCGAATGCAGCAGCACGGTCTCGTGCAGACTAGAACTGGAGGAAAAACTGGAGTATTGCGATAGCGTAATTTCCACGACGTTGGAACAACTAAACAGGTCATTATCTCAGTGTGATAAGTCTCCCCTCACGATTTAAGTCAATTCTCATTCTTACACGTTTATAATCTGCAATTAATTTTCAGAATTATATCTAATCTCGCCGCAACGTCGGACTCAATCGATGCGTTTGAGCTTGACTTACCGTCCACGGAAGACGCAAGAGTAAGCAATATCGAGACCTTGAAACACAAAGTGACTTTCCTGCTGAATATGGTTAGTTGCGCGAAGCGGCATTTTACTTCGGATCTTTCATTGAACATCTTCGCGCGTTGATAAGAACGCGACTTGTAAAAGACCATCTCAACTGCTGTCTACTGCATTATTATGAGAGAACCGTTTGTAGTGGATATCTATTTTAATAACAAAGACGCGCTTACCGATTTTACACGCACGATCCTTTTTATTCCGGTTCATGCTCCGATCTCCGACCTTTTCTTATCTAGACGCGTCTTGAACGGACTAACGCATTCTCCTGTCTCCAGGTAACCGAAAAGATCGCGAGGAATAAGAACACCGAAGATTCGAGCACACAGCTTCGAGCGGACTGTTCAGATGTGCTCGAAAGTTCGGAACAATTTGGCATTATGAGTTTCCGGGCTGGGCTGACACGCACGTAAGTTAATAGTCTTATCAATAGCTTGGAACAATGACGCGGACACTTGCGCGACTGTATGTGTATGTGTGTAAAGTTATATATCGCGCTCGCGTCGGTGTATTTGCACAAACACAAGGCCCGGGGATGATTAATTAATTCTTGGAAAAAGAGGGTCGCCAGTGTGTTGCATACATCGGATAAATTTTTTATATAGACAGGCAAATGAGAGGCTTCGTTGTGCGCGATAGTTGTGCTCTTAGATTTTTATGAAGGCCGAAACGCTCTCGATAACCGGCACATTATAATCGTGAGACACATGTACCGCATAAATGGAGACATATCATCATCGATATCCATGGCGGATAACTGACTCGTAAATATTCGGATCAGGGTCAAGCATAGCGGCGGGAACGTGTTCCTCAGAGTTTCCCATAAAAATAGCAGTGCTGTTCCACGGTGACTGCCTGCACAGCGGCGCAAATGATACTCCACGCAAAAATAACCGGGTTGCCCCGAATCTCGTTTTCTTAAATCACGATTATTCGCAACCGAAATATTCGCTAGGCGACTCTCGCGATTTGTTCGCGAGAAGCTTCTTGGTTTTGTTTGAAATTCATAGAGGCTTTCTTCTTTGAGGTTGTTGATATCGGAACTTGCACGAGAAGCATCGAATTAGATTTTTTAGTTGATCTAAAAAACGGTATTAAAACCTCACTAACAGTTGTCACCTGAAACTTGTCTCGTGTGAATTACTTAGATTTTTATTTCAAAGTTAGATCTAAATTTTCCAGTCGAATTATATGTGATGTTTATATCTGTAATCGTGCGGTTCAGCTGAAAAACTCTCGTCTAACTCAAATCTTAGGCCATTAATAGTCGTTATTTGAAACTTGTCTCACGTGAGACACTCAGGTTGTATTTTAGAGCTGTATTTCAGTTTTTTAGTTAAGTCATGTGACATGTGTGACATTTGCAATCGTGATTCAGTTGAAAAGCTAACACGACCAATTTTATATTCAAATCTGAGTATCTCATCCGAGGGAAGTTTTAAGTGACGGCTATTAATACAGGTTTATGTGTCGCGCTTGAAACTCTTTTCAAGCAATAATTATTAGTACGTGCATTTGCTCATCGTTTAATGACGCGTAAGTTGGAGATGTGTTGGAGCGACGACGAGGTTTTTTTCATCAATCGCAATTGCTCGATCGACTTGTTTGCACGAGAGAAGAAACATCCTCGACGGGCGAGTAGTAGGTCGAGGCTTGAAATCGGTACGCCAGATATGGACGTATCGAGAGGTGGCATTTTTGCAACCATCCTGTTGCTTTTTCTCTCGCTCAACGGTCTGACGAGTAATAAGAGTGCGATAACATGCATCTTTTCTGAAAGTTGACGCCGTCACGCCGTACTTTTTACGGATCGTCGCGGTCGTCACTTTGCGTTTTGCGTGTGTGTCGGTCGAAATCCTGGAGATCACCTTGCGCGGCTGTGTGGTGCCCATCATTGCGGAGACGGACAGCATGAAGGGAGCCTCGATTCACCGGGCGGGTGTGATCAGTTCGCTCCGGGTCTTCTCACCGCGCGCGTCGCACCGAGACAGTGTAAGCATCTTGAGTGTTTTCGTACAGCGTCATGTCTCGTGCAAGGGAAATCGTGAACCTTACATTTGATTAACAAATTTTATTGCAAGAAAATTCACTAAGATATAAAATAGTTTTCAGAAAAACAGCAGATCTTTTTGAATTTCTAATTTTCTAAATTTCTTCAATTCTAAATTTTCACTGATTTTGATATTTTATTGGGTTGATGAAAATCCTGGAATTAAAAGATTTTATTGCGAGAAAGTTCACCAAAATATAAACTGGTCTTCATCAAACATTATCTTTCTAGACATCCCAGATAACATGCATGTCTAAAAGATGTCGAAGAGATATCTAAAAGACTTCTTATGCAACAAAAAAACAACAAAATGTTGCATAAGATGTTTTTTTTAGATATCTTTTTGTCATCTCTCTTAGACATGCATGTTATCTGGGATAATTCTAAATTTTGAACAGTCTTGACATTTTTTATCGCCATGATGGTCGCGTTGAAAGGAAGTTCTGAAGTTAAAAAATTTTATTGCGGGAAAGTTTGCCAGGATGTGAAATTGTTTTCATTAAACAGTGAATGTTCTTAAACACATTTATAAATGAGTTAAGTGGTTTTAATGTTTTATTTTATCGACGCAATCGATCGCGTTCGCGAAAATGCAAAATTCAAAAGTTAAAAAATGTTTATTTCAAGAGAATGTTTATTGAGGTATAAAATCAATTTATATTAAACATTATCTTTTTGGACGCGGTTTTAAATTCCGAACGTTTTTGATATTTTACATTATCGCCGCGATTGGTTGTGTTGAAAGGAAATCCTGAAGAAATATTTTATCGCTGCGATTGGTCGCGTTGTAAACAAGCTCTAAAGTTAAAAAAATTTTATTACGAGAAAGTTTATCAGTGAAATTGTTCCTATTGAACAATGCATGTTTTTAAACACATTTATAAATGTTATATACGTGATTTTAATATTTTATTTAATAATATACATTATAGGTCGTGTTAATGGAAAATTTGAAGATTAAGAAATTTTTATTGCAGAAATATTTATCGAGATGTAAAATCGATCTTCATCTTGGACACGGTTTTAAATTTCGAACGTTTTTGATACTTTACATTGTCGACGTGATTGGTCGCGTTGATAGAAAATTTCAAAATCAGCAAATTTTTCTTGCGAGCATGTTTATCGAAGTGTAAAGTCGTTCTTCATTAAACAGTGTCTTCTTGGACGCGATTCTAAATTTCGAATGTCTGATTTTTCATTTCGTCGGCGCGTTAATGGAAAATTAGTCTTGAAGCGGGTAAGATAGCTCTGCCGATCGGGGAATACAGAATTGGGCGGTTATCTCGATTAATTTATGCGAGGCTGATACGAAGCGATGAGCAGCAATTAAAAGCGCAACGGCAACGATGACAGACAGACGTGGGTCTGACTGTGGATGCAGCGCGCTGACATTAGCCGCGCGTCGCAAGGACAGTTTGATTTGTCGCTTTAATGGCATGATCACCGCGTTAAATCAATGTACACATGCTGCAGCGAATTCTAATTAGTCCTAGTTGTGATCTGCACGAATTGTTTATGTCATCAAGATTGTGGCCTCGTTGCTCGAAGATGTGGGCGAATCGTGGAACGGCAGGAACGGCAGACGATAACTTTGAACTCTCTGAGGTGATAAATTTCCACTTGGAGGATCGTAACAGGAAAATGTCGCGCCATTGTCTCGCCGTCGGCTGTTTGACTAACAGCCGCTCAGTGACTATCTCCTTCATTATTGCATCAGAGTAAAGAGAATAAAGATGATCACCGTCCGAATTCGCCCGGCGGACTTTGCCGGTTTATACAATCTATTAGTTAAACCGCGAATTATGTAAAGTGTATTCACAATCTCGCTTGTTCTCTCTTCAATTCTTTTTTCCTATTATTTTATCTTTATGTTTATATTATGTTTTCTTTCACCGATGTTTCAGCAACCAGTGGCCAAAACCGGAGACGGATTCGCGATCGATATCTTCACAGGACGTGAGCGATAACAACAAAGACGACCCGTTTATGAAAGTTATACGAGCGAACGCGAAAGATCTGGATCACAACATCGTCGAAATCATTGATCCTATCTTCGACGAACTGGACAGGATTATCGAGCAGACCATTAACTCGCCCGTATATAAAGATCTTCCTGTATCCGAGAACTCGAGGTTGTATTACGTAAATTTCTCGCAGACTGTGCGATATAATTCGTTCGAAATTGCTGTGAAGTTATCTTTATGAAGAAACGAACATGCACACAAGACGTTAAATGCGGGGTTGGGAAGTAATGTGTTACTTTTAACTCCATTACCAAGTGATTTCTTTTTCTTTTTTACGGTAACGGTAACGCAATTATATTTCTGGGTAATAGTAATGAATATAAGTTACTTTTTTCGTTACTTTGCACATATAAAATGCATGTAGCAGAGATAAATATAAAAATAAATATAGAAATACATATACAGTATATTATATGTACATATACAAAGTGTCCTAAAAACATTCGACCAAACGTCAATATTGTATTCTAGAGATAAAAGCAACCGAAAAATCTAATAAGCATGATCCGAGAAACCTAATCATTAATGATTTATATTAGTTTCAAGTTATTTAAAATGATTTTCTAAAATATTGTAAAGAAAGATCTAGGTTGCCACTGAAATATTTCTAATATGGTAGTGAGGACGATTTCAGTTGCCCACTGAAAACAATGTGATATACAGCCTGTAAAGTTTGTTTACTTTTCGGTTGGACTCTGCCACAGCGAAAAGATTAAGAAGTATACTTGCATATGTATGAGACTTAAAAGTTATTGATAATACATTTTTCATAAATATTCTCTTTCTTTTCGCTTTATGCGAGTTTGGGGCTAATTTGCAATCATGATTATGTATTTACAAGTTTAAATTGATGTAACTCGTTAATGATTGGTTTTTGGATCCATGTTTATTAAGCTTTTTTTTGTTTGTTTTTATCTGTAGAACACAGTGTTAACGTTTGGCCGTTTTTTGGGATATTCTATAAAGATAAATATAGAATAGATAGAAGCGAATGCTAAAGAAAAGGTCTTCAAAAGAAATTACACTGATTTTTCTCAGTAAACATATACAGAGAAATATCCTATTTCTAAGGAAAGCGATTGCTTAATTTATTTCTGTTCTTTTAAGTAATGGCTATTTTCAGAGAAGAATACCTTCTTGATAATATTCATTTGAAATTTTAGAAAAGCATATTATATATATTCAAAAGAAGAATTTATTTTTTTTACGATAATATTGTAAAACTTTATCTAAGAAAAAGATAGTTCGGCTCTATGTAGTAAGCAGACCGGACTTTTGTTTTAATTTAATATTCTTAAGTGCCAAACTTACTAGAATTCAAAATATATTTCGAGTAAATTTAATGGTTTATGATGAACTTATGATAGATTTGCGGATTTGCTGATATAGATATGTGAACTTATCAAATATTTGAAACAAGTAATATTCATTTGAACGCAGTATATACTTTTCTGTGTGCACTAACCAACAGTAACCTTATATTAATGTTATAATTTCTCGCTCAACAGTGTAACTGTTATACACATGTATTATATTACTTATATTATCGAGTGAGAAATTGCAGCGTTGATATAATGTTGCTGTTAGTGTTTACAGATTACAAGTTTTCATCACTCCTTAAGTAACGATAACAAGTTGCTTTTTGTAATAGATAACTTTAACGCGTCACTTATCAAATCGCTCTAATCTGAATTAATTTGTCGTGTTCAGGTACAGATCGAAATACACATTGCCTTTAAGTTTGCAAGCATCTTCACCAAACGCCGAAAATACAGAGCAAGCGACCAGTTGTCAGAATTCAATAAAGAATTCTCTCGATGCCGCATTCGCTAGCGGCGACGGTCTGACGCGGAGGAATTGCGGCGGAAAATCCGCAGAACTCAGAATGAAATCGACGCGCGACGTTCCCGGTAGAGAGTGGCCGCCTCACCCCGAAGAAAGTGGACCGAGCGAGATGTCGAAGGTATCGAGTGCCTTGCAGATGGATACGAAGGCACTGGCTACTTCGACGGAAACAAATGCCAAGAACTTTCAAGCGCCGGAAGTAACCGTTACGAGTCCCTTGACGAGTCCTCGCAGGAAGTTCTCGGTTTATTCTCGGTCATTCGACGTGGTGGAGGTGCGGGAACCGCGCGACGACGATCAAGGACCGTGTCTGGAGGTGAGACGATCGCTGAGCAATTCTTCCATACGAGGCGATAAGAAGGCCGAATCTGGCGACGAAGTCGTCGTCGACAACGAGACGACAGCGAATGATCGCGCGCACGACCAAAACGGCGCACGTAGATATTTATTCAGTCACTCTTACCGCAACTCGAGGCACGATAGCGATTCCTCGAACAGCTGTTCGCCCCAAAAGCAATTCTGGGACGGGTCACCGAACGACGAACTGAGTCCGGTTGCACAACCGGAGCCGAGAAAAGTTTACTTAGCGCCCACACGCTTGCAACTTCCATGGAAAATCGAGAGCGCATCAGGCGAAACCGTTGACTCCCTCGTCGCGGGAAAGAACACGAAAGACTGCGTTGCTTCAGCCACGGACTCCTCCGAGTCTGACGTAGTTCCGAGCTCCTTCTCCACCGTTGCTGACGACGGCAAGTACGAGAGGAACGGCGACGCTTCCGTTCACTCATTCTCAGCGTTTGCTGTAGACAAGTGCGAGACTGTAGTCGATGCGGCACTCGAGTCTAACTCGCGTTCCGTAAACGAGAAATTTTTCCAGGGCCACTTGACGTCAGCCCACGCGATTCCGCATAATCAAATCGGTGAGTTTTCGGATATAGTTGTAGTTAACATCAGAATTGTGTGAAACTATTGATTAAATTTTTCTTAATTTAATAATTGATTTGAACCAATATGTTTGAATTTATTTGATTCAAGCAAAATTAACTGAAAAATGTTTAATTGACGATTAATTTCAACGAATTCAATTAAAGGCCGTTTAATTGATGACTGATATGAGCGAAGATAATAAAAAATCGCTTAATTGACAATTGAACTTAACAAATTTAAAAGATATTTTATTGACGATTGATATGAGCAAATTCGATTAAAAATTGCTTGGTGATGATTGATATGTTCCTTTCAACGGTTCTACTCAATCACCGACATTTTCCACAATGCCACAATTGGAATTATGATTGCAACTATGATTGATTATATGTCCATAAATTTAAATCGTCTCAATTCAGCGGCCTTCATTTAGATTTGCTAAGTTCAATCAGTAACCAAACGATCTTTAATTCCTTTCGCTCATATCAATCATCAATAGAACGGTTTTTAATAAAATTCGTTTAAATGAATCGCCAATCGAACGGTTTTCAACTAAATTTGTTGAAATCGGTTTCAATTAAACGATTTTCGATTGAATTGGCTCATATTAATCATCAATTAAACATGATAATAAAAAAAAAAATAATTCGCAACCTTGATTGACACCCGTCGCAATCGATCAATCTTAATCAAGCCGTAATGCAGGGAATTCGCGTTACGTGTTCATTAGCAGATATCAGGTTAATTATACGCGAATGGCAAAAAATCGCGAGTATCTTATCGAGATATGATGTCGGAGGCATTAAATCGCGCATTAACCTTCTGCATACAATTATATTTTTTAGGATATGCAGTACAATCTGGGTCTGTCAGACCTGGGCAACTTTGAATCACAACTTTATTGAAAATCAATACTTTTGATCACCTTTTTTCTCAGAAATATAATAAAACCTCAGTTGTAAAATAGTAACGCAATAAAATCCGCAAGCAGATTTGCGCTATTTTAAAATGTTCACGGATACTTTACGAAATTTGGTGAGCAATCAAATGTTCATTCGAGTCTCACAGCCCAACATTGTACGCAGAGGGTTAATACTCCCTCATCGCGAATCTCTTGATCGATGACGCCAGAAACGAGCAAATACATACGCAAAATTCTTGCGGAATACGTCGAAATAAAATAATACATTCGTGAAAGTTGATACCTGCAATGAATAAAACAAAACTGTAAAGTAGCCTCAACACTTTCATTTCGCTATAACAGTCAATAAATTACTGTACAATTAACATGACACGCAACCTACTTTTTTAATTAATCTTTCCTTATTCTGTTACGTTGATTTTATGGTTATTTATTGATTGTTAGAGCATATAGAAAACATTTTGGCTAGTTTACAGATATATTCGATCGATTGTCATTTTGTGAATGTGTCTTTTTATTTCAACGTATTTTGCAAGAATTTGAGCATACATTTTCTCGCTTCTGACGTTTAAGTTAGCTCTAAGGAGTTAGCGTAACTTTTACTCATATTAAAAGTCTTAAGGGTATATTACTTATACCTAAAAAATAATAAAAAATTATTGAAAAAGTAGAGGTTAAAATATATTACATCCAAAAGTTATCATAAACAATTTGACATTGATTCAGAATCTAGATAAAAAATTATATTCTACTTTGAAATGTAAGCTCAGCAAACGTAATAACGTCAAATAACGTTAATGACACATTAATGATAGCTCTAACATCAATAATACTATTTTAGTACGTCATTTGATATCAACTTGCTACTTGGGACTATTATAAATCGTGCTGTTTTAGAGGTATGTGATGTTGCTATTTTTAGAGAAGGAGATAAAGGAAGAGATAATTAAAAAAGCAACAACAAAAAATCACAATTTTTTATACATGTGCTTTAAGTATTTAAAGTGGTCCAAAGTTTCATTGTGTTTTAGAGATGAGTTTAAAAAGTCTGAAATACTGTAAAATAAAGTAAATAAATTATAAAAATATGATGTTATATATAAAATGAAAATATATTACTGTTAAACTGTGTCGTATATATGTACCATCGTTTTTCTATGGAAAATAGAAATATTGGCATATTTTTAATTTTCAGTGACTTTGCAAGGACTATACAAAAACAATACATTCTTAAGCTCTCCCTCTAATATTTATTTCAAAACTCACTGAAATGGATACCTCTGTTTTTTTTGTGAGATACTATTTGAATGAGTAAAAATTACTCATCCCTATCTTAACTGTATCAATTGTACGTTTCTAGAGTTAAGGCTTTCAGAAAATGAGTAAAAGTTACTACCCTTTTAGGCTTAAGATAACTGTAGTCTGTATCCAGAAGTTTTAACGCGTCTTATCATTCGCCCTAGAGTCACCCATCATATAAGTTTCACTGAAGTTGTCCCTTGTTGTTGACGCGGCAATTGCATTTTCCCACGCAGATCCAGCAAAGATCACGGATCCAGAGGATCCCCACCCACAGCGGAGCGTGCGGCAAGTCGACGACGATCAGCCGTCACGCATCGAACGGTCAGTCGATAGCCAAATGTCGAGTCGCGAGGACACCTCGGCCGGCGAGGACAGCGAGTGCGAATCGGCGAAACCCAGTGACCGGTGCGTCGACGAGGGAGTTACGATGGGCGCGAACGAAGCCGACCAAACCGCCGACGCCGTGCTGCCGTTGATCGGCTCGCCGATGAGAAAGAAGACACCGTGCGAGAACGCGGTGCAGCATGACGGAAGGGCGCGCGACAGAAACCTGTTCGATGCGAAGCAGGAGAGACGGCAGGTTGGTGGCATGTGGGGACTAACAACTGGCCATCGCGACGAGTGGCTTTCTGACAGCTGTGTACTCGATTGTAATTAATAGACAACGTCTCTCGAGACATCTTCTCGTACGCGGACGAGTGGGAAGGCCAACACGGAAAGAAATTCGCAGTTCGTGTAACGGGATGTAGACACCAGACGAAAACTCGGTCATGAGAAACGATAGTTTCTGTTCTTTTTAGCTGAATTAGTGTCGCACTGAAACTTTATTCCTTTTTCCTTCAAGGCTAGATTATATATTAGGTGTAGGTGAGCTTTTTTTTGCAAACTTTCGCTTTATTCTTACGATATATACATTATTGTCATTAAATCATATAACATTTTAAAGACTTCGACGCCAATCTTTTATGAACACCAAGAGGCGGGAATTTATTAGAATTTTAAATAATTGTAGCGTCGAAAAAAGATTAAGGCCCGTATTAACAGTGTTACTTGAAACTTGTCTCGAGTGAAATTTCAATTCAGAATTAGCTGTGAATTTTTCAGCTAAATCACGATTATAAATATAATGTCACGTATATTACATGATTCAACTAAAAATCTCAAATCTAACTCTAAAATCCGATTTATGTATCCCGTGTTGCAAGATAAATTTCAAGTAATAACTCGATAACTGTTAATGCAAACTTTTACACATAACTAGAGTTACACATAAGACTCGTTTCACTCCAAAGACAAAGGTCCTTATTCTGAACTCTCTTTTATCGATAAATATGCCTCTGAAAGTGGCGTATAAGCCTTCTGATTAGCAATAAAGAGAACAATAAAAGCCAGAAAGTGCAAGCTATTTCAACTGAAAAGAATAGACTTGATGCCTAGACTTGATGTTATTGCTATCGAAAACATTCGTCTGAACATACGACTGCTGAAAACTCGATAGAAACAACTGAGAACAATTAACTAAATAAAATTCTCCCACGTTCATTCGTCTTGTTGCTACAATCGAGTTTCCGTTTAATTTCCGGACATAAGAAAATCAGTTACACTAACCGAGTTTTTTTCCGTGAAGGAGTTGATAGCGCCCTCGGAGCGAATTGAATCGAATGGGCAGCGCGCGACCAGCTCGAGCGTCAACGAGTCGTCAATCGCGATCGCACGAAAGCAATTGAGCTGATGCTCCGCGTTGTAGAAACGCGTTCTTAACACGAAGATGGCATCAGGCGATGCCGTTAATCGTGCTGCGCAATTAAGATCTCCGCTATCAATAATTGTAGCGTTAAGGGGACAATCGGCGGGCGGTGATAAATCTGCGGTCAATTGACATTAATTATTCGTGCAGAGCTTGGCCGTTGCCCAACACGCGGGCGCCAATGGTGGTCGAGATTATCGCTGAACCGTATCGCGATTCGCTAATTAATACACACGGCTGTTGCTTATCTGTGGCGAAAATAGTGGCATTTTTTCTATTGTGTTTACATGCCGCGATGCACGAATGGCAAATAAGCAAGGAGCGTATTTCGCTCGGCGCTCAGCTTGAAATAGCTCGAGAAAACTCGTGTGTATTTTTAACGTGCACGATGTCTTCCGTACGTACGTTAGCGGCGTGCTAATCAATTTGTCATCTGCCGAGTCGCATCTTTACTTCTCTCGCGCCTGTCGATTCGCCGGTCCTCGACAAATCTAAACGGAGCCGTTCAGCCGCCGTGGATCATATATTTGCCGTGGCAACACATCGGCACACCTTCCAGCGATCATTTGCATTTAATCGTATTTATTTCCGCGCCTTCGACTCAGATGGTTTTCTATGTATAGCTTTAGCTTTGCAGCGCGTCTCAACGTGTTTCGTCACTTTTTCAAAGGACTCGCAAACGCCGGGGTGGCGAAGCTGAGAAATTTATTTCTCTCGTCTCACGGACGTAACTCTACGTGAGCTTTTGTGCCGATTTAATAGCTGAGGCTTTCCTCATCGCGTGGAGGAACACTCGATGTAGAGCCGCGTCCTTTATAGATTTGTCTTCAATGTTACGTGAACATTTCACTTCATTTCTTTGGGGAACTGTCGCAATTGGTTTCTCTTCCTGAAAAAACGAAATAAAATGTCACGAAACGTCAAAAACAATATCCACGAAAAATGCGACACCAATTTGGAATCCACAATTAAGCAATCCACGTTACAGCATTTTATCGATTAATTATTACAAGTTATTAATTATTACAAAAGATTTGTCGTGTTTGTCAAAAAATAGAAGACGGAATTATCCAATTTCGGAAGATTAATCATTTTTATGAATAAAATGAACAACATCGATTTGGTTTTTTTTTTTAGACATTTAACAATGATTTCCAATTTTCTTTTTGACGCCCAAATTTATTACAAGAATTTAATAGAAAAATGACAAGTCTTTTGCAGCAATTCCTTTAGGAATTTCTTGACTAGTTCCAGATAGACAGAAATACTGAACATTTAATGTACACTTTGTAATATTATTACAAAATAGCACAATATATTTAAAGTATAGAAGTGTGAAAATTATTAGAATAATTTTGATATTTTTATTAATTTGCTCTAATTGTTTTTTTTTTTTAATAAATGCCTAATTCCAAAAAATATTACGATTTGTTAGATAATTGTAGCGTCGAAAAAAGATTAAGGCCCATATTAACAGTGTTACTTGAAACTTGTCTCGAGTGAAATTTCAATTCAGAATTAGCTGTAAATTTTTCAGCTAAATTACAATTATAAATATAATGTCACGTATATTACATAATTCAACTAAAAATCTCAAATCTAACTCTAAAATCCGAGTTCGTATTAATAGTTATATTAATATTCTTTGTAGATATCAAATAATTACAGGTTTGTATTATGCGATTCAATTATATAAATAATGATGAATTATTTCACAGAAATAAATTTTATATCCCAAAAATAAATTTTCAAGTGTATAAGTAACCCGCTATTTCCTATTTAAAAATTTATTTTTATGTGCAAAATATATCTTATAACAGAACCTGATATAAAAAATATATGATATATCCGTCATTATTTATGTAATTTAGTCGAATATGTAATACACAAACCTGTAATAATTTTAAACTTATAAAATTATAAGGAATATTGGTAAATTGTATAATATGCAATTAAGCATTTATTGAAAAGAACAATAAGAGCAAATGAATAAAGAAATCAAAATTATTTTAATAATTTCTATATTGTTATATACTTATTTTAAGAAACATTCATTTATCATGCCATAATTTTAATCGAAATATTGACTTCTTATTACTGCAATAATTCCGGGTTAATTGTGTTCTTACTTAATTTATTTTTCCAGTAAAATAAGCAGCAATTTTCATGGTATCAAATACTTTTTTATACTGATGAAATTCTTGTTGTATAAGGACACATTTTTGCGTAATTACTGAACGGATAGTGTACAAGAAATATGTCTGCCTGGGGTTGTAGGGAACGCAAATTCTTCTGTTATTCGCGTCGAAGCGCAACGTCTCGGCAATGATACTTTTGCAAATTTTCCAGCTCCCGCGCGAATAGTCGTGGCTTCTCTAACGCAAGATATCCCGGTGGAGAGAATACCGCGGAGTTATAAATATTATATCGAAGTGTGCGGTGAAGTCAAGCGCACGTGCCCCGTCTACATCCGGCGGTCTATCTCGTTTGATACGAGAAATAATATTTGCATTAGGTGTCACGTAAACCTTCGACAGATATTAGTAGAAAAGCGGGGGCAAGGCCGCGGGAGGGCTGCCGAAATTCTCGCTTTCCGAAATTCGCCGTTCTCTCCTTGTTGAATGTGATATATTTATAGACAATGATTAATCAGCTGCGAAGTATCTTAAAGATCGAGAAAGAAGGCACGGAAAAGGTCAATGAGGGCTTGCGCATTTTTCGATAAGAAGTTAGCCAAATAGTCACATGTCGACGTTGTGCAGACTCGTCCCAGCAAACACCCAAGCAACAATTACATAAAGTGTTAGTCACAATTTCCCATTCGACAATGTAAATGTGATATAACACGTGTGTTATGTTGTCGAGTGGGAAATTATAACTAACAGTGTTGTGTTACTGTTACTTTGTATTTGCTGGGGTTAATCTTTGGCCAGCGTGTCTACATAACTTTATAATTTTATCTCGACTCCTCCGAGAGTTATGTAATGAAAAAAGTGCCATACGCTGTTACTAATGAATGTTATGGCGTGTGGCCTTTTTTTGCATTCCCGTTCCTCGCCGATAGCATTTATCCGAACGTGATAACGCCTGCGATCCGTAAGAACGAAGGTCATGTTACCACTGGAAGCGCGATCTGTACCAACCACGGTTGTTCTTATCGTTACGAACTCCCCTAATCTTGCATATGCAGTGATTGTTAATCGGCGGTGGTCAACAACAAGCGCGAATTGCACTCGCATGCATTTCCTACCGTGATGCCCCGCGAATCGTTGGATCTCGACGGAGTAATTTACGACGAGTTTCTCTTTCTTTTTAATAATTTAGCGAACAGAACTGCTAGCAAAAAGATAGACAGGACTTAGATAAACTTTCATAGTTATCACGACGCGAGACAATCGATGATGAAAACTCTACAATTACTTCAATTACATTTATGACGCAAATATACCGTGTTAAGTTAATCGTAAAAATTAATATTATATGGTGATGTAAATTCTGTGTTATATCGATGCAGCAAGAAATTTATTGGAGATTATTCTCGGATTTTCATGTTACATTTTGCATGACATGTTATTTTTAGCAAATTTTGCTTATTTTTTTCGTATTACTTTCTTACTTCAATTTCGTCATTCTATGTAATAAATATGAGTGTCATATGAACTTATAAGGGATACAAATTTTGCAAATCGACTAGTAAAGTTACTGTCAAATTTACATACATCTGTCCATTTGGGAAATGGACGAAATACTATTCATGAAATAACGTCCACTACTATGTTTCTTATATCAAACCAATGATTAAATAAGGCTCTCTGATACGCAATCATAAGAAACTGGGTTAATAAGAGCTAGCAAGCAATTGCAGTTAACTTTCAATGAATATCTTCCAAATCTTTCATGGAAAAGATAAAATATAATTGTTCCAAATTTTTGTATTTTAAAATAAGTAAATTTTTTGGCTTTTATTAACCCCAGGTCTTGATGATTTTTACGTTGCAGCGGCGTTTGATGATGAGAAGATCGTTTTCGGAAGGTGACACCCGAGCATTGTGCCGTTGCAGACAACACGATGGGCCTCAGACTGTACCTTTGATTCAAACGGACAATCAATTCAGATCGTTCCCAAGTCTGACGAACGATCGTCTGCAGGAATCTGGAATAGCCAACTTGATGGACACGGAAATGAATAACAGGTGAGTAGAAGCAACTCGTATGACATTCAACCGTATGATGATTTCACTTCATCGTGCAATGATTTTGATTTGCAGGGAAAATCTGAGCGAATTCGAGCTGCAGGTAACTAAACGCGCTCTACATGAAAATCAACTTCTCTCGTATTACATTGGCCAATTATTTATTGTGGAACTCTCATTGCTCATTGCAGAAGAAGTACACAGCGTTCTCCCTGTGCCTGTGCACGGACCGAGTGACTCTGCTTCAAAGAATGGAGCTGTCACTCCGGCAACGCGACCAATCGGAGAGGAATCTCGCCTGTGAGGTGCAGAAGATGCAGCAGGATATTCAGGCAAGCGAGTATAGTGACGAATAATGTCTTGTCGTTGATTAATCGTTGAATATTCGCACACTTGCAACGCGTGAAACGTTCGTTGAAAATTGTGTGTGACGCGATCTAGATTTTACCCGCGTGAGAGTTAGTGGTTCTAAGCTTCTCTGGTAATTGTACTTGCACGGTTCGTTGAAGAGATTGAATTTTGCGTAACGTCAGGAACTTGCGCCACTATGCACGGACAGGGAATCCGTGGAGAGAGTGGAGAGAGTCAGGCACCAGTTGGACATGGTCGCGCGGTGCGCGCACCGAGTCTCTTGCACGGCCGAGACTCTAGGCGCCATACACCAGGAGCATAGGGTTTCCAGGGCTGTTTTCTTGGGCGACAGATACCTGCAGTTGCTGCAGTCCAGATGCGAGAAGCTGGCCATCAATGTCGCTGAGACTAAGTGAGGGTCCTTTCTTATTCGGCGCGCGTTGGTCCTTTCACTTCCACTTAGATATTTTAGGTTGATCTTTTAGGCTTTCGTGGTGTGGGGAGCTAGCTTCCGGCTTGCTACCACGTGAATTTGTTTACGACATTTTATGAAGATTTCAGTACACTACTTAAGAGAGAAAAATAAGCTAAAATGTTCGCTGAAGAAATGCACTGGAACTTTACGAAACGGGACATATATCCACGAAGAACGCGGCATCAATTCGGAATCTAGATTAAACAAAAATCTCAGCTTCGATGTCACTGGGTACTCAGAGGAAAAACATGCTAATAATTATACGAGTTTTATATGTGGAGTTAATGTGTATAGTTTATTAAACTATATATATGACTATATATATTGAACTATATACATGAAAATTTTAATAAACTATATGCAGCTATGTGTACTAATGTAATAAACTATATATAACGATATACAAGTATAGTAAACTATATACAACTATATATACAAGTATAATAGACTGTATACATTAATTCTACATACAAAACTCGTATAATTGCCATTATCATATCTTTTCCTCTGAGTGCGTTACCGGCTTTCACGGTGTGACGTCACACACGCGTCTTTGATCCTGCACTTATGAAGATTTTTCCAATAGCTAATCATAATTTGAGGTATGATTGTTCTTTGTGCGTAAAAAGACGTGATAGATCGAAGTTCTTTTCCCGTTTTCACGCCCTGAACGATGTGACAATGTTAGTGATGGTGTACGCTGTTCGTTTCCAGGCGGATTCTGATGGAGAACAACATAGTGATAGAAGAGAATTCCGGCGAGCTTGGCGATGACTTGCCCCGGATTCGATACAGGAGCGGTACACCCGCCAATAATCGTATGATGGTTCGAAAGTATTGAGAGAATTCACGTTTAATCGCTTTCTCCGTTGAACTTTTCCCCATCGGCTCACATAATTTCGTCGTATACTCCATGTCGCTTCGTCATTTTCCACCGTATCTATGCACGATTTCGCAAGGAATCCGTTCGACTCGGTCGCACTCACTCACACACTCAGCTTGCTTCAGTCCTTACTTTCTCTTCTTGTACCATGTTTTTTCGCGGATTGATCAGCGCGTTTCTCCGTCGATATTTTTTCTTTCTAGATGGCTAGAAGGAGAGCTAGCATTGCGACAATGTCTCGACCGATGGGCGCTACACAGGATGTGATAAAGGCAATTTGTCCTGTTCACTTTTATCGTCTTAGCAGCTTTGAGTTTCCGCTTTCGCCGCTTGGTGCTTCGATGCGAATCGGAGCTAGGGATGTTTTTGCGTTTTTGAGCCACTAACACGAGATGACTTAGCACAGCTTACTCACCCACTCTTTCATTCTTTTTACGTTATCTCTATATCTACGCTTTGTCGTGTTCAATACAGGACACTGTGAGGCAACGAAATTCCGTTTCCGGACGCATGACTCTGAGGAGACCGTCTCTCAACTACGAGTCGTCAAAGTGGGAAAACGAGAGACTGGGTCGCACCGAGTTAGTATCGTTGCTTTCAATGCAAATGCATAAATATTATAGATACCTAAAACTTAGTTCAAGTAGAAAGTAATAAGAAAAATCTTATAAATATTTTATTATTTATGAACACTTTCACAATATATATTTAGGTAGGATAAATGTCTATAAATATATCCTAAACTATTTAATTTATTTACATGTTCTATATAAAATATCTAATTTATTTGGGACAGTGAAATACCCTAAATTATGTCTATTTAGGACAGGAAAATACCTTAAAATATCTGATCTATTTAAATCAATATATAAAGGGTCCTCTTAAAAATCGCCTATATATACACATACAACACACACACGCGCGAGTTAATAGTGTAATGTAATCAAGCAATTAAACTTAATATTATATTTTGAAAGTCAAGAAATCTAACTTCATTAGTCCACCTTTTATTTGAACTAATAAATTTAGATTTCTTTTAAAAATATAATATTGCAAGTTTGCTTGCTTGATTATATTACACTATTATATCCATGTATATACTCTTAGAAGTTCTTTGTATAATGATTTGATTGGATATCAATCGAACCTTTCCTTTTAATCTACTTATAACCATTTTTACCAATTTCATGTCCATTAAACATTAATTTTATGTCAATTAAACATTAATCTAAATAAAGCTCGACTCCACTAATATTCTTAGACATTGATTAAACCTTGATCTCGAGTTTGTCTTTATTTGAATAAAGTTCAAACTGAAATTAAGGTTCAATAACGTTAATAGAAACGGGCGTTAGTCTTTGTCTGAAAAAATTTGAAGCTCAATCTGAATTTAAAGTATCTTTTCAGACGAAGACTTAAATTCAGATTAAGATTTAATTTGTAGAAGCGGACGTTGAACGTCTTTTAGATTATTTTAGACATTATATTACGTGAGTAAAAACGTGTATATATTGACTAATAACTCTGTATTGTCAAGCAGTAGTTCAAGCAGCATCAGTGAATTGCGAGGTATTTTCGAACATGCCGAGTCCCGACGCAGCTCGAGGGAGGAGAACAACAACATGTTACGTTTAAGTCAATCCAATAGCCAAAGTATAATAAACTGTGCCATCATCGACGACGAGATTTGGACAAACTCGAAACAAGAAACCTGTTCCGAATTCCTTCGTGTCGACGAGGACGTCAATCGAGATTGCAGACAATGGTAATTATCTTTTCTATTCTTTATCTTGATTATGCTTTGATTTCTCCTATAAACGTAACTGTTTCTTCTAGCGCAAGATTGTTGCAATCGTTTCAATTGAGAGACATGGCTATATCATGGCGTGTAATATTGTGGGGGATTTTAACATTCTTCTTTGGCTTCTACGTGAATCGCATTGTCAGCGACCCATCAGATCAATCGATGATTGAGCGGATTTTCAAGAGATACTTTCGTACAAAAAACGTGACGCCTCATCCGACATGAATCGGTAATGTTTTATTCTCAATTCAATGTGAATTCCATTGTTGTCTCCAGTGGCAACGAAAGCCTACAAAATATTTTAATGCATTTCTGTTGCAATTGCATAATTGAGATTAATTTATTTATATTTTATATTTTGTCTTCACTCATGAATCTTATAATGATAAACTGAAATTTCCAATTACCTTGAAACGAGTATGTTGACCTAATCTGTTTTTGTACGGGTATGATTTTCAGCACTTCGTTGAGATCTGCTCCCAGAAACTTGTCGATAATCTCGTACTCCTTTATGGATAAAGAGAAGAGATTGATATGTTCCAGAGATTAAATTTTATCCTCTTTGACCAAATGGCTCAGCTTAGTGACAGGAATCCACTCTGCTGTCTTCTTTGCCACGACTACGACCTCGTCTTCTACTTCTCTTCCTCCATGTCCTTTATCTTTTAAATCTTCCACGGTCATCTCCTGTTCCATGAGAGAGAAAGAGAGAGAGGAGAGCGCGCCAAAACTTCTACGCAAACCTTCACGAGCGGCTGGAGCAGCGTCCACCATTCTACGGTTTACATATAGTTTAGGTCTAATTGATAAGATAAATAATAGGACTTAATATGTACTGTCACGTATGTCAATTGCATGTGAAAAGGCTGAATAAACTTTAAATAATTAATGTGCACTCGTCTTCCAATAAAATCATACGCGTCTGTTATCTGTGATACAATCCCATGTACAACGTTTACCCGAGATGATACATTATATTCGGAAATTATATTTAAAGAAATAAGGTGATAAGAAACAAGATGAAATAAGATCTAATAAAGAAATAAGATGTAAAGAAATAATAAAATAAATTAATATTTATACATATATCCATCGAAAAATTAACACAAAACATTTAAAAGATAAAAATTTCATTGAATGTTTTTAAAATATCCTTTTTGAGGAAAATTTATTGTTAATAGTCATTAGAAAGACCGAATGTGTACACCAATATGGGCAAATTTGCCAGGGGTTGTCCATGTTCTTAACTACGCAATTATGCGCTTAGCACGAATCGCCAGAAAATGGGCATAGAATGGACACACAAATCGACATTTTATCGGCAGCATTTGAAAATGGGCGTAAGGAACGTAGTTCCACCTCAAAAATAGATGCAGATGGCGCATCGAACAGCGAAAATCGGTGTTAGCCAAAACGTATGGCGTGGCCGCTCTCAGGTTTCTCTCTGACCACCCTAATGCAGGATTCACACCGCGCCCGAGTCCGACGTACGACGTCCGATATCCAATAGGAGAACAGCTTTCTAATATAGAATTCAATTCTCCATTGGAAAGCTATTCTTTTATTGGATATCAAACATCGTATGTCGGACATCGAACACAGTGTGAATCCTGCATGAGATTCCATACATGCGGTGAGCTCCGGCAAACGCGGTGGTGACTAATCAGAAGCCAGGCAAGCAAGAAGTAGCGTAAGTAGAACTTCGACAATTTTTCAATTTTTCCCGCACAATTATAGTTGTCACAATTCTGTATCCTTTTTGTTTAAATATGCAATGCAAATTAAATACGAACGATCTCTTAGGAAAATTCGCCACGAGTTAAAACATTTCATTTTGTGCCACGTGGCGTCATTTTTCGGTTAGGTTTTATAAAGAGTTGTATCAGATATGTTTTAAACTTTGTGCTGTTAATTATCCAGAATCGACAATCGTATTACTGTATTATATTATTTAATTTTAGCATATATTCAGTGTTTAATAATTAACGATTTTGTATTTTTCTGCTAGTATAATAATGCTGCAATTACCATATCAACTGGTTGCTATTAATTCATTAAACATACTATCATAATGTTACACTCAATCATTACTATATATACAACTTATATAAATAAGCATATAATTATATATAATGACAAACATATGTGTAATATATATAAATGTATATAACATAATAACACATGAAATCTATACAAAATAGAATCTTTTGTAAAACTCGATGTCAATATGATGATATTTATAATACAATATTTTATTTGATCATAGAATGGCGGACGCTGCTCCAGCCGCTCGTGGAGGTTTCCGTGGAGGTTTTGGCTCTCGTGGAGGTGATCGTGGAGGATTAAGAGGCAGAGGACGTGGAGGGAGAGGTCGAGGACGAGGTCGCGGTCGCGGCAAGGAAGATAGCAAAGAATGGGTTCCTGTCACCAAACTTGGTCGTTTGGTCAAGGAGGGCAAAATTCAATCCCTGGAACATATTTATCTATTCTCCTTACCCATCAAGGAATATGAGATCATTGACAAGTTCCTGGGAGCAGATCTCAAGGACGAAGTATTAAAGATCATGCCTGTACAAAAACAGACCAGGGCAGGTCAACGTACTCGTTTCAAGGTAATTAGAAAATTCAGCTCATTATAACATGTGAGATTCACATGTGAAGACAGAATATGAAATATTAATAAATTAATCTCAATTATGCAATTCCAACAAAAATGTTTAAAATATTTTGTAGGCTTTCGTTGCTATTGGAGACAGCAACGGTCACATTGGATTGGGAGTAAAGTGCTCCAAAGAAGTAGCCACTGCTATTCGCGGCGCCATCATCCTAGCCAAGCTGTCGGTAGTGCCGGTACGACGTGGCTACTGGGGTAATAAGATCGGCAAGCCGCACACGGTGCCCTGCAAGGTCACCGGTAAATGTGGCTCTGTACAAGTGCGTTTGATCCCGGCGCCTAGAGGTACTGGCATCGTTTCCGCACCAGTTCCCAAGAAGTTGCTTCAAATGGCTGGTATCGAAGACTGCTACACCTCTGCCCGAGGCTCTACCTGCACGCTCGGCAATTTCGCCAAAGCTACTTACGCTGCAATAGCCAAGACGTACGCTTACCTGACACCAGACTTGTGGAAAGAACAGGCTTTGGCTAAAGCGCCGTACCAAGAGTTTGCAGACTTCTTGTCGAAGAATCATAAGGGAAGCACGAGAGCAGCTGACGTTGCGTAAATAAACATCCGGCTTTCATGAGAACTTCTTGAAAATTTAAAAAATCGGTCTTGTGATTGTTCCCCTTCTATCATCCAACTCCTCGAAAGTTCATGTGTTATATATTTTAATATAGATGATAAGATATTCTATAATAGGAACATAAGTTATTTTTATATGAATTTATAATGGAAAGAGAAAATGTTTTTTATACATCCATTAATGCATCTAATTGAGACATCGAATCTTTTTATTAGTAACTTTTTTATTTTTTTAGGGAAAACATTACATATCTCTAAAACATAATAAAAATATCACGTGCTTTCAACAATATCTTGTGAAGATATATTTATATTTTTCATTTTATATTTACATTTTATATCAAATATTTCTATAATATTTAATATATATTAGTATCAGTATTTTAGTATATTACTGATGTACAGGTTAAAATGATAATTGCATACAAATCATATTTTCTTTGATATAATTATAACTATTATTGCATTCATATTCAGTACGTTAATATAAATAATAAAATATTCAATAACAGAAACACATTCTCCTTTTATACAAGCTTATATTCCAAAAAAAAAATGAAATGTATGCTTCTTTTTTCATCCATTAATTTAACATTTAATTAAAATGTCAAGGTTTTATTAGTAGCTTTTTTATTTTCTTAGAAAAACAATATATTATCTACATATCTAAAATATAATAACAATATCACGGGCTTTCAAGCCCAATGCTTTTAGCATCTTGTGAAGATTCATATTTTATATACGCTTTATCGAATGTTTCTATAGTATGATCACACATTTTCCCAAGATCTTCGAGACCCTGTTTTAATAGTTCATATACATTTCCACCATTTGTTTGAATTCTTAAGAGCATTCTTGATTCTGCTGGGTGTTCAATAGTATAGCCACACATGGTTACTTCAGGGCTGCAAAACAAGATTTTGTATTAAATCGAGTATTCTTTAATGCACAATACATATGTTTAAATATTCATTATTCATAGAATTTTTGTAATACATACTATTGAGATATTACATATCTGAGAGCATTTCCCAAAGTGTGCCCCTCATCCAAGAAAACAAACGTTTTGTTTTCAACTCCTTCTTCTGGCAACTGCATTTAGAACAATTATAAAAATAATACTTTAGAACAATTAAATATTAATAAATTTTCAAATCTTTAAGTGTATAATTTAATTTTATTACTTCAGCTCTATAATGTCAAAAAGACACTTGACTTACATTTCATCTATCTTATTCATTCATTCACATACCTACATCTTACTATTATCCTTATAATTACCTCTTATCCTAAATATTTATCTTATCCTATAATTCAAATCTTTAAGTAATTTGTATTACCTCCAAGAGACGACCCATTATAATTGTTGTTTACGTCCACGTAATTATTTACATCAACATTGAACGTAAAATAACCTCTTCTTCCCTTCTAGATACGCCAAGTCCAGGTTCAAACATGCTTTTGTAAAAATTGGACGTTGGTTTGCAGTGCCATCAATGGTGTAAGAATACAAGATAATTTATTCCGGTGAATGCGCAGTAGCTACCAATCAGAAAATTGCCGCAAATTGAAAAAACCCAATGGTTGCCCTCATCAGACGTCACGTTAGGTTAGTATATTTGCGGCAACTTTGTGATTGGTTCTACTTCCGCCTCTATGATGCGCAATATTTTACCTTGTATTCTTACCTATAATGCCATCTGCATTTGGCCTCAGATGTAGCTGAACTAAACGAATTACGTCATACGGAATGAGAATATGCACCACATATACGCAACTAACCTAACCTAACTTCAACCGTACAGTGATCGTACATGTGAATGTCAGACGACAAATTGACGTTGACACAATGCGTTTGAGACAAATCTGCAATGTCGTCAGTCATCGAAGCGTTGGATTTCAAATTGTCTGCGCGAGACGGTTCTTCGCCACAGAATCGACGAAGTCAAAGGATGAGGTTGTCGACATAACCTCTGCCGACGAGAAGCCAATCTTTGACAAAGTGGATAATGAACAGCTTCGAGAAGAGATCGCCAGGAAGCGGAACAAATCCCGGCTCAACCAATCGCACAGGAACATCCTCATGGACCTGCGCCCTTATGACACTGCACACGACTGGTATCACAACACAGTGAAGTACAAGAAGCGTATACTAGGTAGGTATGGGTTGAAAGCCATTGACGAGCCAGCAGGATTCGTTTGGCCGACCATGGAAGAGGTCGAAGATGCTCAGGAATATGAGAGAGTCATGTTTCCATTGTCCCTTCAGGAAAGGTGGAAGGAGATAGAAGAGGCACGTAAGCAAAAGGCTGTACAGATGATGAAAAGGTATTTTTCTGCTGGCCATGATATACTAAGACCTGTTCTTTTTAACTGAATTAACGCTATCCTGGAACTTTGTTGCTTTTTCTTTCAACACTGGACGTATACTTATGTTTGTTCCTTTTAGATAAACTAGGTTTTTGTCTTTTTGAAACAAGTATATAGTCTAGCATTGAAGGAAATAGAAACAAAGTTCTAGTCCAGCATTTGTTTAGCTAAAAAAAAAAAAACCTTTTGTTTCACTCCAATAGCAAAAAGTGCTGTCTATTTAAAAATAAATTTCTTAAACCTGTTTATTTTTTGGTTAAACTAGTATTGTATTGGAACTGGAAGTTCTTATTCTCTTTAGGATGAAGTTATATACTTGTTTTGCTTTAAAGACAAAAATGCAACTTGATTCATCTAAAGAGAACAGACTTCTTGTTAGTTAGATATGAGTTATCAGATTCTTATATAATTGATGACATATATAGATATGATGGTGGACATATATATATATTATAGTGTATAACATATTTGCAGAGAAAATGAAATACTCGCAAAACTGGCAAAGATGGATCAATGGACAGCAGAATTAAACGCAAAGATTGAGAAGAAGAAAACTGATATGCAGAATGCAAGAATACGCAAGGAACGTTTGGTGGAGGAAGTTAGGAGACACTTTGGCTTTAACATCTCACCTTATGACAACAGATTTAAGGAGATGCTGGAGCAAAAAGAGAAAGAGGAAAAGAAGAAAAAGAAGGAGGCTAAGAAGAAAGCAAGGAGTGACAGATTGGCGCTCATGGTGCATAAACAGGTACAAGAATTTGGAGAAGAAACAACCAAGAAAGAAGATGATCAAGATTCCAAGAAGTCGACAGAATAGTAACTTAAGGTATAACGTAAAATGTATCTTAATCATAGTTAATAAAGACGCAATTTATCAGTTCCTATTCAGATGCAATTCTCTTCAAGCTAACTGTAAGCGTAACGAGCAACACATAATTAAGTCGTAATGCTTTTTCTTTACATTTTATTTAAGCAATTAGCGATCACGAGACATCTCGCGAAACTGTGATCAAAAGATATCCAAATTCTCTCTCTCATTTCGTTGCAGAAGCTCTTTCTTTTTTGCAATAGAAACTTGCCAATAAGTTCCTCACATTTACTCGCAAGTGCGACACAGATGTCAGGGACAATATACACACATAATAGTAAATATCATACTTTCTTTACTAATACAAAAACATTACACACTGTGTTTCGAAAGGACTAGAAGAAATTATTCTAATGCATCGTCGAGATAAATGGCGCTCTCTTTAAGACACGTAATCAGGCACACAATTGGACGATTATGCAGTTATGTCGTTTGTTATAAATCGCGTCGCACCGCGTTCTGTCGCTGTGAACCGCGGAACTAGGTCGCATTTGCATTTCGTTCTATCATCCGGAGAGACATGATTTTCTCGTACTTGCACGTGTTTGACTCGTTATCCATTCCATTAAGCTTATCAGTGAACTTGTATAACTATTCTAGCAGCCGCATCGACTAAAATAATCGAACATCCTCAAACAGTGTCATTGTAAAAACTTTTTGACGGAACGATTCGAGCAAGATCAGCTCTTCATCGTCATGCAAGACGTCTCGTTGTTCGGATTGCTATCGACGGAAGACCTCCTTTGTGAGCTCCCGTGCTCCGAAGCGTTCCTCTCGATTTCATCAGTGGTGCGAACCACCAGCTCGTCGTTATCGACGCGCGGCCGAGTGTTTTGTAATTGCAACTCGTCGATCACGATAAAGCGTACTTTGTTATTCTCCGTGTGTCAGGCCGATTGTAGCTGAGACGGCGACGTCAGTTCGTAAAACTGGAAGCTCAGCTCTTCGCCGAAGAGATTCTCGGATCCTATGAGCTCGGGATCCACCACATTCAATCCCAAAGTGTTCGGATTCAGATCTGTGACGAGGTAGCCTTCGCTGATGAGGCCGCATTCTTCGGCGACGACTTCCTTAGACACTGGATTCAGAAAGTCTGAAAATTACACGAATTCTACTTCATATATGCGCGCATCTTTTGATCTTTGTAGTACTTTGAACTAGACTCGTGGACTCGTTAGACTCGTGGATTTCTATTAATTGGGAATTGAAAGTGCTTCTGAATACTTATGTAGAGATAAATTAACTTGCACACAGAGAATATTTTATAATTCTTTTTTTTTTTAGTTTTTTTTTTAGTTTTTATTTCTTCCTTTAGTTATTAATGGGTTTATTTTTTAATTTTAGAATATTTTATAGTTATTATAAAGCTTGGTAACCAGAGAATATATGAGCATTCTATCTTAATTTATTATCCTTCCGTTTTATATGCATTCATTATATTTTAGAAAATGTAATCTATTAAAAATGTACTATTTTAACATAGTGATGTTTTTTTTTTGTTAACTATGTTAACGATAAATTTTTTAATAATATGAACTATAGTTTTTAAAATATAAATAGTGCGTATAAAACGAAGGAATAAAGCAAAATATATTCTTTGATTACAAAATCTTAAAGTAATTATAAAAATTAGAAGATTAATTTAAAAAATTAGAAATAAGGTCTAAAGAAAATAACTATAAAATTCTTCCCATATATAAGATAATTTATCTCTACATAAGTCACAATTTTAATTACAAATTAATAAAATCTACTAAGGAACTCCTTAGTAAGATAAGCTTTATTCCTACACTACTAGAAAAATTGAAACAAATTTATCTCAAAAAAACTATATAATATCTTCTCCGTTTATGAGATTTATAAACAAAGTGATATTACAGCCTTTATTCTGAATTCTTATTTTTTATTAATAAAAACTCCTCTAAATATGATTTATGAGTCTGCTGAGATTGGTTTATAAGCACATTCAGAGGTATTTTCATTGATAAAAATATTTTCAGAATAAGAGCCTTAATCCCTACCGCTTTCCTTGAAGGGACACTGAAGTTCTGTTTGCGCGGTTTGCTGGCTTTGCTGATTCCCATCGTGATCATTGCTGGTCACCATCATGGGAACCAGATATTGCACCTCCACCTCGCGCTTTATACCATTGAGTATCTGCTCGGCGGAATGCTCGAGCGTCACGGAATTCAGAATACTATCGGTCTCCTCCTCGGAATTCTGCTGTGTGATGCTCGCCGTCGCAGCCTCCACTTCGTCCATCGCGATAATTTCGCTGTATAATGTCGATTTGTAAAACAACAATAACGGAGAATATTAGTCCGCAAAGAAATTTTGTAATGTCGACGAGCAATCGCTTTTTTCCTTACCTGACGATGCTTTCGTTTCTCCCGGATTCATTGCTGTCGTGTTTCGTAGCCTGTCGCGTAGGTATCGCAGTTAAGCCGTTGACAGCGAGCGGACGAGGGCTGCAATCGTTGCGATTCGCGATCGCCCATAAATGACCGGCTCCATGAGGCGCTTTCGATCCTTTTCGGAAATGTGGATTTATCGAGAGATTATGTCGGACAGAATTTTTCCAACGATCATCGTTGCTCTTGTAATACGGGAAATGCTCGCTAAAAATTAGACAAATGATGCTCTATTATATTTATACAACTTATTCATACAGTTATTTATACAATACATATTTATAGTTGTTTATATAATATATATATTTATATTTTTTATGTCACACATATGAAAAAAAAACGTCAGACGTCATTGTATTATAAATACAATGCGTCGATATTGTAATTTGTATTTTCGTCAAAAATCATCTTGCATTGTTATATGTGATATCCAGTAATATTCCTGGCAAAGAAAGAAAAACCTTTTTCAAAGGGGCGAGCCAGAAGCGTTTGGGACGATTAGGGGCGTTACACGTGAAAAATGCGCAGCAGCAATTTACATCCCTGCGAAACCAATTTCCTTCACCTGCTCGCATCGATGTCACGGTGCGTTACGCACCCCTGCGATTAATTCCACGGGGTTTTGTGGAAGACTGCGAGGCGAAAGGCGAGTCGAGGGTGTATTTGAAATGCTAAATGGCGTGTTTACCCGCTCCGCTGGTCACGATGATCGCCGGCAAGTGTTGTCACTTGTGAGCAATTCAACAAATCGCTCTCTTCCTAACGTCGTATCGTAAATACATGGTAACCAAATGAGAACCAAAAAAAATATTCTCAGAATCATTAGAGTTATCGTAATCCAGACAGCATAAACGTCTAACATTCATATTAACAGCCCTGCATTGAATCTTGTCTCACTTGAGATACTCATCTAAATTCAGAATTAAAGTTGAGCGAAATAAAAGCAATTTGCAATCTCAATCTGACAAAAAATGTAGAGTTTTACAATTAACTTAAAAGGAGTTTTATAATTAACAAAATTGAGCTTTTAATTTCAATCATGTAATTATATGATAATATATGTGACATTATGATAATATATGTGACATTAAATTTATAATCGCGAATTAACTAAAGAAGACACATCTAATATCCATATTAACAATCCTCCCTTGAGTCTTATTTCACTCGAGATACTCATCTAAATTCAGAATTAAACTTGAGCAAGATAAAAGTCAATCTGCAATCTCAGTCTGACATAAGAAATATAAAGTTTTACAATTAATAAAATTGAGCTTTTCATTTCAATTATGTAAATATATGGTAATACATATGACATTATATTATATTTATAATATATTATATTATATTTATAATCGCGAATCAACTAAACTCATCTAACTCGATTCAAATCTGAATTCCGTATTAATAGTTATTGAAATTTGTCCCATGTGAGATTTTACACACAGATTTTAATTCAGAGTTAGATGAAGTTTTTTCTATTGAATCACGATTACAGATATATAATTATACATATACAATTGGAAGGAAAAGGAATTACATATATAATTCAACTAAGAAATGGATCTAATTTTGAGGAAAAATCTAAATAGATATCTCAAGTTTTAAGTAACAACTATATATTAATACAGGCCCGCGTATCTAATTTGAGGCAAGTTTCAAGCACGAGACGTCTTTAATAAGATGTCTAAAAGACATTTTGATTGTTTTAGATCCTTTAACTGTCTCTAAACGGCCGATTTCTCGTTAGTAATTTAAAGTTAGATTTAGATTCACACGCAAGCTCTATTCTAACGATCTGGTTTGTTGTGTTTGAACAGAGTATAAACTATTGTGAAGACATAGTTCACAGACATTTGCGCTGTCTGAGAAAGAATGTGCGCTCTAAATGCATTCGATCGTTTTAATATCGCGCCCGATAATTACAATTCTATCGAATTCTGCCACGAGCAAGAGCGTTAGATTCGTGACGTCATTTTAATATGCTTCTGAATTTGTGTCGGTCTTCGCGGAGCTGTTTGATGGTTCTTATGACTCAATTATTCGAGCGGTTCTACGCAGTCTGGATGATCTATACACGCTCTTTCCAAGGAGCTCGCGCGATCGAACAGGTGAAAGCACAGGAGCAGTAAATTGTGCGCATTCGTGTGAGGGCTGTAACGAGTAGCGAAGGGTGAGGAGTCAGTACCAGGTGGTGCCAAGCAACGGGGGCAGTGGTACCAACGGGTACCATCCAGAAGTCCACCCCCGGCGTCGATCCGCCCCGCGCATCGACGCGGGCCACGTTCGTGCAAATTCGTAGAAAACTTCCTGTATACGCGGCCGATACATAAATAAGAAAGACACCGGGCGTCCTAATCCGAGTATCCTGTATATATTTTTCTTCTCTTATAGCACAATTCTCTTTTTTTAGCTTTATAATATTTCCTAAATTGTTATTTTTGTCTAAGAATTTGAGAGAAGAATTTTATAAGAAGGGGATTTGTGGAAGAGCGAGAGGAATTGAAGAAATTCGAGACAAGAACAGAGAAAAGAAGATAAAAATAACCGCAGAAGATTGTAACTGTAACGGAAAAGCGTGAAGATTCTAATTGTTAATCACACCGGCTATCAGTAATATTATCGGCGAACCGTCGCACGTGAGAAAGCAAAGGAAAGGCTAAAGTTTTGTGAATAATAGCGACAGAATAAGTTCTTGTTGATGACTTACGAGATCCATTGATAAATGGCGGAGACTGTGAGCTCGCCTCTCTCCTGAAGAGCGTGCTCTATTAATTCCGTGTAGGTGAAGGGTGGCTTCTTCAGCCCGTTGGATCGCGAAGATGCAAGATTCCGATTGTCGATCCCGTTAGCGGGATAAGTCGTCTGATTCGAATCCTGCCGATACACCGATGAGCTCTCATGATTGCTGTGTCCTCTTCTGACGTCGCTGGTGTAATTAGAGCCGTGCGATCGTCCACTTGGTTTGCTTTTGGCGCCTGAAAATGTACAATTAGCTGCAAAACTGTGAAGTTCGTTAACAAGTTGCACGTATTATGTACTGCACTTTTACATCTGATATTGATTCAAACAGGAAAATGTTGCGCGCCCATGTTTTCCGATTGTCGCGTTTGTGACTTAGAAAATTAAAATTCTAATTAAGATTCATTAAAAAATTATGAAATCCTTTCTAAAAATTTTTAAATTTTTCTATAATTTATATTTTTTCTGATTCAAATATACTTTTGATTAAGATTCATAAAAAATGTCTACAATTCTTTTCAACACAATATTCTTCTTAAATTTTTCTATGATTTATCTTTTTTCTGATTTAAATAAAATAATTTAAACTTAAATTGAAACTTCTAAAACTTAAATTAAGTATACATCTAAATTTATTTCTAAATTTAAATCTTTCTTTTGAATTTCTTTTGATCGTAATGAACTTTCGACTTCGGCATTTACTGAAACGTTCACGTTTACTGGAACGTTCCGCACTCTTCTTACCACAATGATTGTCCTTCACCATCGCGGATCCCACGCTCGTCTTGTCGTCCGCGGCTTCGATGAAGGAGTCCAACTTGAAGTCCAACAACCACGACAGATTCCCATTCTCTTGGTCTTCAAATTGCTGCTGTGGCTGATGCTGATTATGATGGCTGTTTGCCGTGTCCTTACTTTGTTGCACACTCGGAGCAGCAACCGTTGGTTCGGCGACTGTTTCCCAATAATTCACCGACACCGTTGGCTGATAATGCGTCTGTTCGACGATATAGGCTTGCTGAAATGTTTGTTGCCGGTGACGCTCCGCGCAGGAAGAGACCGACGAGGAAATGGACATGGACGACGATGATGACGACGACACGGACGACGACGAAGGCGTCAAAAGCTCTAGATTCTGTTGCTGCTGTTGCTGTTGTTGCTGTTCCTGCTGCTCCAGCTCGGACACGGTCGTCCAGGTGCAGTTGGTACCGTTCACCAGCAGCACTTCAAGACGCGCAACTGGCGAGTCTTCGACGGCTTCCTCGGCGGACATCGGCGAGAACAGAGCCGCGTCGGTGATGATCTCGTTGGACGCCACCAACTCCACCGGTGTCTCCAATTTCTGAAGATAACGCTTGCGGCTCGTGTGGCAAACCTCCTCGCAGAAACTGTCGATGTCCAGGTCGTCGAAAATCTTGCGCTTGGATGGCACCGCTTGGCACTGGCCGTCCGTCATGTCGCCGGCAGCCCCCGATGACGGCCCGATCATCCCGCTGGCTCCTGAGTTCTCGACGGACGCGAAAAATCTCGGCGGGGCGAGATCCTGCCCTGCAAAAAATAAGTGGCCGGCAAAACTGAGTGGAAAGTCGCGCCGGAAAACCGCGGATTTGAAGCGAATCGACGAGCCGAATTGTTGCAGAATGAATTCGACGAATTATCGAAGGACTCAACTTTGCGGGACGGATGTCCGTCAGGAAGCGAGTCGTCGGAAAAAATAAGCGGAGGACGTAATCCTCGGCTCCTAATTGACGGACTATCGCCCTGTTGACATTTCCGTGCGACAAGAGCCGATACAGATTTCACGGTGCAAGCACATTTGCGGAGGGAATCGATTGGCGTTTAGGAAACTTTGTGGTACCTCGACGCTTCTCCCTCAATGTCTCGATTTGTTCCCCTCGCACGTTATCCCGACGCACGAACTATACTTTCTCTTTCTGTTTCGACGGATTGTTAATCGGAACGATCATCGTCGGACAAGACGCGAGTATTTCAATCAGCCCCCGGCGAGCACACTCTCGGCTTCCTCCTTCGAGATCGAATTGAATGGGGACGGCGCTTATCCTTCAAACGCGCTCCACCATCGCGATTCACGTGGATTCGCCTGCCTCGATCGACGTTATCGCGCACGACCGGCGCGGGACACGCTTCGGAAGTGAGCTTCGTCGATTTTTCTCGTCGCGATCGAGCGCTTTCGGAGCGTCTCTACGCGGATCGCGCGCGGTGCGCGCCGCTCGTTTATTTCGTACGTCGACTGTCCCGCGCCGCGCGCGCACTGACCGACGCGCCGCCATTCCCTCGTCGCGCCGCGCGCGTGCACCTCGCGTGCGCCCCGCGTGCGCCCCGCGTGCACACGAAAGTGCAGTGTGTGTGTCGCTCTCAAGTTCACCAATTCTATCCGTAAAACGCTCAGGGTCGGAGTAATAAGCAGATCGACAGTCAAATCACACATTTTGCTTCTTTTATCGCTGAACTAATGTACACGAAACTGAAAAAGAAGCAGATACACAGTCGAGATTTAGTGGAAGGAAGAGGAGGAGAGAACAAGTGCAAGTTAGTGCAGCCAGTTTAGCAATAGAAAACAAACTTTATATATCTGCCTTTGTTTTTCCTTCGAAAGGAACAAAGGTGGACACATCCCAGATAGCACAGAAGATTCAAAAAGCTTTCAGAAATGTTTCTGAAACATTGCATCTTTCTGAGATCTTTCTGAAATCTTTCTGAAAGCTTTTTGAAACTTCTGTGCTATCTGGGATGTTTTATACAACGTTATCCGGATAGCACAGAGAATTCAAAAAGAATTCAGTCGTATTTCACCAATTCTGAGTTCATTTTTAGATGCAAAAAGAATTCTTTTCAATGAACTGAAATCTGAAGAATTCTTTTTGCATCTAAAAATTAACTCAGAATTAATGACATCTCCGTAGCATGTAATATTACATAATATCACAGTGATATTTCCGTAAAATTGCGATATCGCAGAAATATTACGGAAATATTAGTGATATTATGTATATTATGTGCTATACGATTGATATTATGTATATTATGTGCTGAATATACGACTGAATTCTTTTTGAATTCTCTATGCTATCTAGGTTGGTACTAAAAGTAATCACTTTGTTAATAAAATTATAACTTTTTATAGAATTCTACAACTATATGCAGGGTGTCTCACACTCTCCTCCGGGCATTTTGTGGGGACGTAGAACAGGTTGAGGTGAACATAAAAGTCCTATAACATTTTGCGATATTCGCAATAATTATCGAGATATTAATTGTAGAAAATTTGTGAATGATCATGCAGGATATGGTAAATGAGTTATAATAGCGACGACTACCGTCGTGTACTTATACTTTAGGTCAAATTGAACAAAAAAGTCCTCTACCATTTTGCAAATAATCACATAGATTTTTAATTATTTATTAAAGAAAATGATTGCATTATCACGCAAAATCGTGCAATAATCTTCTTTAATAAATAATTAAAAATCTATGTGATTATTTGCAAAATGGTAGAGGACTTTTTTGTTCAATTTGACCTAAAGTATAAGTACACGACGGTAGTCGTCGCTATTGTAACTCATTTACCATATCCTGCATGATCATTCACAAATTTTCTACAATTAATATCTCGATAATTATTGCGAATATCGCAAAACGGTATAGGACTTTTATGTTCACCTCAACCTGTTCTACGTCCACACAAAATGCCCGGAGGAATGTGTGAGACACCCTGTATATACTAATAGAAATTTCTATTATCAAAAAGTTAGTAAAATTATACTAAAGTATAATAATAATATAAAGTAAAATTAGCACTAAAAGTAGTTGTGTTATTAATAAAATTATAATTTTCTAATATTTCTTATAGAGGAAACTTTACACACACATAACTATATACATATACTTATGAAAATTTTATTAAAAAATTAATTAAAATAGATAAATGAAGTTAGTATTAAAAGTAATTAGTTGCGTTATTAATAAAATTATTATTTTTTATAGAATCCTACAAATACATATACTTCTGAAGAAATTGCATTTAAAAGATACATATTTTTTCATACACTTGCTTCGTTCCAACATTCAAATTCATGCGCGACACTTGAAGCAGGCAACCCGAAATGCGCGCGTGCATGAGGCCCTTCGGGCATATTAAAATTATTAGCATGGCCATTGACGTGTACACAGAAGTACACAATCGCGACAAAATCGCGACGTAGGTAGCCGATTCTGCGCTTCCAGAAAAATGTTCTATCTTCCACGACGACGCCAAGGTCAAGGTGGCACGCGCCGCACGGAGAAAGCAGCGCTTATCACTGTTTTCTATACGAACTGTACATTCGAGACACGGAGGTATGATGCAACTTCTCGCGTCGAGTGTACTTTTTAGGGATGTAACAAGTGAATGGTGTCGCCGGTCTTGATCCAGGGCCTTATTCTCGAAAAATATCGCATACGATATTTCTATGAAAAGCTATAGTTCATGTTACGTATACTATAGCCTTTTATCGAAATATCGTATACGATATTAGTCAAGAATACGACCCTTAGAAAGTACTGGAAGAATTCGAACCAAACCAACGAAATAAAAATACAACACAAGAAAGAATAAAGGAATTCAACCTAACCTAGCGGAACAAAGAAAAGAGAGACGGAAATCGAGAGGAAGGAGAATCTGGAGAAAGAGAGAGAGATAGAGAGAGAGAGAGAGCGGAAGGAAATTTTGCGCAACTTTAGCAGCGCGCAAATGGAGAGAGGGGGGAGACAAAAGTCAATCGCCCACGCAAGCACCCAGCAATCGCTACGTCGCTGGTTACCGCGGATGTGCGTGCATTGTGCTGCATACACGGGCGAACGTCGTGCGGAGAATGACATTTAAAATTCGATACTGAGGACGACGCGACGACGACGAGGATCAAGGGCGCGGGAAGGGCGCACACGGTGACGCGGGCGCATTGCCATATAACGTGACAGCATCGTCACATGGAGCATCATTGTCGTTGAGCCGGCCCCAACGAAACTGCGTGCACCATGAACGTCGACAACGATCTGGACCATCACTTGCTGCATCAGTTCAGTTGTCTGGGCACCACGGACAAAGACGACCTGGTGAAGCAGCTGGTGAAGCTGCTAGCCGGCAGCCACCTGAACGAGGCGTCCGCCGCGTTCTTCCTAGAGATGAACAATTGGTAATGCGCGTCCGCGCTCGCGGCCTCCCGTGCGCATTTTCGCTACTGTGTACGACCGCCAACGGACATAACCTTGCATCGCCATGTTTACCGCGACCCCCCGCGGAGGATATTGTTTTCCTTGTGTCTGTCCAGCTCGTGTTGCTCGTGTCTGCACTCGTGTTGCACCGTGCACACCTGCCGAGCGGGACGAGAGCGTATCCTCGTGCTTGGAAAAAACCGAGCTGGAGAAAAGGGGACGGACGGCGAGTGTAGAGAAGTGCAGCTCGAGAGAGCAGACCTTTTCAGGGCGATTAACGGTGCTGAGAATTAGACAGACGGGTCTTTTAATTCGGCGGTCTCCAGAAATTTGACTCGGTCGCGAAGCGCATTAACCGCGGAGGCGCGCGAGATTGTGTCATACGGGAATCGTATTGTTCACATTTTCTGTGACAATAGCTGTGTTTAGTAGAGAAAACTGTTTTGCAACTGTTGTAAAATCGCTGAATCTACGATTAGTGTGTATTCTTAATCTCGGTTGAATCTAATGGCATGTACAGATTCACAAATTCACAGATTTTACAACATTTGCAAAGCAGAGCTCTGTTGAGTACAATCAATGTTGACCTTGTCTTTGTTTTATAATCTTTTGTACATAACAAGGAACAACAAAAGAGCAGACGTGTAAGATGATAAGCGCATTAGAAAAACAGGAATTACAATTGTTAACATTGTTGTGACGCAATCTTTCCTGTTTCAATTTCAGGAATCTGCAAGCAGCGATTTGCAGCTATATTGACTTTCAGTCACCTCACAAAGTTCCCTGTATGACTCTGATATGTGACAGCACCATTGGTGAGGGGGAGTCTGTACCACCTAGTACAAACTTCCAAAAGTCATGGCGTGTACAAAACAGTGGCACGGAAGCTTGGCCACATGGGATTCACCTGGAGCTAATTAGTGGAGAAAGGATGGGTACCACGCGTATAGCAGTACCACCAATAGGCCCTAAAGAGACCACAGAATTGAGCGTAACATTGTCAAGTCCAAGTGAACCTGGTGTCTATGAAAGTAAATGGAGAATGGTAACAGCCAATGGTCTCTATTTTGGTGGTAAGTGTATAAATATCAATATTGACAGACCTTTATTTCGAACTATCTTTTATCAGTAAGAGTGGTTTTTTTTCAAACTCTTAGTAAGTTAACAATCATATGTCTGTCCAATTTTGAAAAAAAAAAAACAGACATGATTTAACTATTAATGAAACCAGTTAACTTATCCAAAGATTAGAAAAGTCGGTCCTAAATATTATAAGCCAATCAGAAGGCTTTTTTATTTATCAATAAAAGAAAAAAATCAGATCACGAAGGAGAGAAAATCAGAAGGTTCTTTTATTTAACAATAAAAGAAAGTTCAAAATAAGGACTATAGTGTTCCTCTGATAGACAATTGATCAAATATAGTCTTTCCAAAATTGATTTGCATTTTCTGCAGAAGTTATCTGGGGGATCATAACAGTGAATGAATGTGGCACTATGGCGCTTACTCAGCAGCTGCATCAGTTAAGTACTTCGCAGTCAAATGATGTACAAATGTGCTAGCCTTCAACGTACAAAAGCCTCTTCTAAGAGGGAATGATTTACGAAATATTCTAAGGTCCCTTGGGGGG